CTAGACCCGGATGAAGCATGGAATACCGCATATATATCTTATATCTGTCTGGGATCATAAATATCAGCCACTTAGCTTCCATTTTACTCTATAGACGAAAACCAATCGAAAAGACAAAAGCCAATCGAAAAGGCCAAACGAAAATCCTAATCTCACAAATCGTTGGGAAGTACATTCATTCTCTGCGTTTTTAGTGCCTGTTCCACATGGTGCGCTGAGGTATTATTTGTCGCGTCATCCGGATTTTAACATCGCACCACCCGCTACCGGGACAGAGTTCATGCGTACTTCTCGTAACCACTGCGCTCATTCACAATCATAATTTTTAAAGATTTTTTTCCACATGCTATTCGGCTCTCATTAAACTACTCTGCACCATCTTTCTCGAATGGCATGACATGTCCTTCATAGATGAAGATTCTCAAATAAATCTCAGGGATAGACAGTCGCTTAACTGTGTACCCGTGGAATTGGTAAAATGCTGGACTCACAATCAGATAAAAAGTGACCTAAAAGAAATGTGACGATTACAGGACAATGACATTTGACCAGTACGCGCTTAATTTTAGAAATCAGAGCAAGCTGCACTAATGAAATAGATTGCGGATCTAATTAAGAGATCACACTGACCATTAAGTCTGGGCGAATATTACTCGTTCTTGCCTGTCCTACATGTTTCGATGCGTATTCTACTTATATAACATTTTTACCAGCCGACTCAGGTCCAGGATATCCTGCACATTGCTGGAAGCTTAACGGACTGTTCTTCTATCATTCGGGTTAGAGAGAGCGATAGACAAGCGAAACGTCTGCAACTTAAGTGGGAAACAGAAATGGTCAACACAATGCAGGATTTAGAATTGGGATTGCATCTAGTATTGAATAGTTGGTGATTCGTATTTGAAAAAAAAGCGTCATATGGACATTATAAGAAATATACCAGGGGTTTTCTGTTTGGTGAAGCAGCTGTCAGTTACCCTGGTGAAGCTGGAGAGACCTGCGGGACTCTTCATCCCAAAAAAATACCATATCAATCCCAATGCGAGGTAGCTATGCGTTCTGGTTTTAACGATTGGTTCGTCGTTAAGATATTGGTAGCGGCTTTCACGTTGTGATGTACTTAAGTAGATGACAACGGTAACTCATTGACACTAAACACACCATAACGGGTCAAATGACCCATTTTGAGCTTTTGCATTGAAAATGCACGTATCATCTTATTGCTTTTGCACATTTAACCTCATGAATTTTTCTTACTAATTAATCTACAGTTACTATAATTTTTTATTTGTTTTGTTTATTTTGTGTAATACTTCTATACCCTTATTTACTCGCTATGGTAGAAATAGGTACCAGTAAGTGTTGGTATGATTAGTGTTAATTAAAAAAAAAAACGATTCTCCATTGTGCAAAATGCTCTTCATTTTTCAAGTGCATACGAGTCTTTTGTTTATCTTATAGTGTGAGGTAGTTCTGCATCTAACGTTAGACGTGTCTTAAATCGTTAAAAAAATTTAATGGAAACAATGAATACAAACGAACGTGAACAATAAAATTTAAACGACATGCGCTCAATGTTTGTTGTTGTAAATTATAAAACTAAACAACACAATGTTAGAGCTCATAAGGTTAGACTATGAGAATCGATTACAATGGAACGTTTAATTAAATTTTCAGTAAGCGTAGCGTGTGAAATTAACGCTCCCATTCGAGGTCGCTGTCGACGGGTCGGTGACTTTCATTCTAGATTCGAGAAAAAAACAATTTAAGAAACAATATTTTGTACGTAATAGACAGTACTACAAAATGAAGCTCCTTCTCTAAGTAACTGTTTGTTCAATAGACGAATAGCGAATATAATTATTATTGTTTGTAAGAGCCCATTTAATTTGGCGATATTTATCGCTACAGTATTATTAAATTCTTTTTTTTTTTTGCTTAGACGAGTGGACGAGCTCACAGCCCACCTGGTGTTAAGTGGTTACTGGAGCCCATAGACATCTACAACGTAAATGCGCCACCGATACCTCGAGATAAGTTCTAAGGTCTCAGTATAGTTACAACGGCTGCCCTACCCTTCAAACCGAAACGCATTACTGTTTCACGGCAGAAATATGCGGGGTGGTGGTACCTACCCGTGCGGACTCACAAGAGGTCCTACCACCAGTAATTCTCGAATGAATATTTCATTCGCAGATATTGGGCCTCGGAAACCTCACGACAATTAGTTTATTGAGAGATAATAAGACGTTGAAGTGACTATATTGCCATTCATACCCCTCCGAAATTAATTGATTTGTCTTAAAAAGGACAAACTTTGGTCAAAGCTTCGAGTCACCAGTAAAACAACAGTTAGTCGAAGATCGAAGACTGGTTATATTCACACAATCTACTGAACTCTAATTAGGCAGACAAGATCAAGGCCATAAAGTCTAACATGACCAAAGTCCTTTCTAAATCTGCCGCCACAGTGATAATTCGTTCCGGTCTAAGGACGGTTAGTCATTTCTTCAAACCTTTCACTGCACATTTGAAAAGTTGCAATTTCATTCACAGGCATTTGTTACGAAACACTTCCTATTCGTTTTTATTGAGATATATTAAATTATGAACGGAAAGTGCAGGAATCGAACAATGGAATCTTATTATTGCCCTCCCGTATTAATTAAGGGTATCACAAGATATAGTAATTTGTTGGTCTTTGGATGTTGAATCTCTGGAACAATATCGCACGTGACTAATCTGTGAAATGAGATGGCTTGATGATGCGAATGAAATAACTTTCGTGGCCCAGAGAATATGGCGCCAGATGCATTCGTATCAAGCGGTGCACCGGTGTTCGAATATCGTAGGCAAGTACCAATTTTTCTAATGAAATACGTACTTAACGAATGGTCACGATTGACGTTCACGGCAAGGGAATAGCATCGTGTAATAAAAATCAAACCCGTAAAATTATAATTTGCGTAATTACTGGTGGTAAGACGTCTTGTCTGTGCAGGTAGGTAGGTTCTTTTCGGTTGAAGAGTTAGGTAGCTATTGTACTGTAAAAATTAAGACCTTAAACTCATGTCTCAAAGTGGGTTGGGATAATTACGTTCTAGATGTCTATGGACTCCGGTAACCATTTCACACAAACTGGGCCGACAGCTCGTCCAACCAATTAAGCAATAAATAAAATTGCTCAATAGTCAACGTCTGCTTTTAGGAAGACGAGCATACAGCTTTCTCATATTTAAGATATTTTGAATCGTAAATCATTAATTTATTATTACCACAATTAATAAACATTCTAACTAGTCTGGCCATAAATACTGTTACATAAAAACTTTTCTTTTTTTAACTTTTTAATTATTTTTAATTTGGAACACGTATATTATTTTAAAAACCTCTTTCGATTTTGCGCTATTTCACATATTTTTTCGTGTTCATTATCAAATTACACTATGGAATGGGGTGTTAAAGAAAATGAGATTGCAGTGATCGTCGTGCACAAACTGGGTATGAAGCCGTCGGCCGCGTGCTGTTAGAACTAAAAAGGCTGTTAATGCTGTTAAAGCCAGAATTCGTCGAAACCCCATTAGGAAGCAAAAATTTTTATCGCGAGAAATTAAGGTTCCCGCCAGGACTGTGTCGCGCATTATGACCTGAACCTCGCTTTTCGTCGATATACAGGACATGCCCTAAATCAATCGCCTTCTGTCGCGATAGGTAGGTGAAAGGCACAGAAATATCCTCTTTACCGATGAAAAAAAATTCTCGATCGAAGAACACTACAATAAGCAAAATGATAAAGTGTACGCTCACCGTTCTAAAGAAGCTGCTCAAGTGGTCGGAAAGGTACAACGTGGTCATTATCCTGCATGAGTGATGGTTTTGTGGGGCGTGTCTTATTAAGGAGTCGCAAAACTACATTATTATTATTTATTTTTTTATTGCCGTATAGGCAGACGAGCATACGGCCCACCTGATGGTGAGTGGTTACCGTCGCTCATGGACGTCAGCAATGCCAGGGGCAGAGCCAAGCCGCTGCCTACCGTTTACCTACATTTTTGTGAAAAAGGCGCGACACTTCAGCCAAAGTGTATCAAGATACAGTCTTGGGTCATGTTGAAATCTCAGCGATACACTTTTCAAAAATATGCCTTGGTGCCTTGGTCTTTCCAGCAGGATTCCGCACCGGGTCATAAGCTACGAACTACCCAAGCCTGGCTTGAAATCAACGTTCCGGACTTTATAAGAGTTGAAGACTGGCCCTCATCTAGCCCAGACCTCAACCCTTTAGACTTCAAATTATGGTCAGTTTTAGAGGACTTGTCCTGCTAACGACACGGCGACATTGAGTCTCTTAAAAAATCTTTGGAGCAAGCAGTCCCGAAATTTCCCTTGTAAACAGTGCTTAAGTCCATAGATTCGTAGCCAAACAGATTAAAGACCTGTATAAAAGCCAAAGGTGGCCATTTCGAATAGAATTTATTTTTTAATTTTTTAATAAGACTTTAATAAATGCTTAGGTATAAATTTTAATAATATTACATTAACTCATTTAAAAAAATGCATTTGCATTTGTATCGTAACTTATGGCTGGACTAGGTAATAAATGCCAACATTTCTACTTCAACTATGTATAGATTAAATAAACGTTCCAAATTCTCGATCATACTACAAATCGTTAAAATAAGACATGAAAGGAAAGGTCATGAAATATAAACGAGTTCAAAGAAATTCCCCAGTTAAATTCCCATGAGTCGGCTTGCGATAAGAAAAATGCATTATCAACAAAGTAGCGCACGCTTTAATACACGTACAGAGACATGTACTTAATAATAGAAATGCATTCATTGGTATTTAAGAGAAAACCCAGGTCGTCACGTATTCTTCTCATGATTCGAACCAGAATTATTGTGGCCGTTTCTGGTAATCACTCCGATAACTTTGACCAGACATGTTTTGTTGTCAATTTGTGAACATTCGTCGGTGCCGTGCTCGATGGAGGGAGCCTTTATTTGTGTCAGTCGTTCGGTCTACGCGTTCGGAGGCAGCCGGCAGATCCGCGACTAACGCCTCACACGTAATTATTCGCAGATTTCCGTTTTGTTTAACGATTTACGAACGTGTCGACTATCGCTTAGCCTTGCAATTTTATTCGATAATCCACTCGGGTTGGCTACGTGTGTCCGAAATTTTGCAATACAAATTCGCTCCTCGATTCACCAAAGTAGAAGGTTCCCCGCCAAACCTCGAAGTTGCGAAACGCTCACAAGTTTTAAACATGAACATATATTCGCAATAATTTTGACGGTAAATTCATTTATTCGGAAATGGCTGAAAATGTTGAAACGATAAGCGAATTAATCTAAACTACTGAAGTGCGTACATTACGAAAAGAAAACTCATATAGTATTGAAATTTTTTGAATTATGTACTAGTCGTTAATCAGTGAATAATTATGTTGTCCATGGAATCATTGTGGTGCAATTCAGAAAGTGAACTCTCAACTTTAAAACTTAGCAAGAGCGTGATTGAGCGACCAGAATATAGACTGATGAGGCGGAAGCCGTCCAAAAGCCTCATTCCGCAGGCTTTGCTGCACGCAAATCCAGAATCGCAACAAAAATCGCACCGGCGACGAAGGTCTGGCACTTGGCCGTAAGTGTACTCGTTTGGCCATTATTAATTAATCTAATATCTAAATATATAAACATTCTTCTTGAAATACAATCTTATCGAAGAAAACCGTGCGATCACTTTACACAATTTTGGCTAAGGAAATTATAAAGGTACCTAATTATGTTTGGTATTTGACGAAATAGATTCCGTGAACACTCCAGTCTCATTTAAGCAACAACCCTAGTTGGACTTGTTTAACGTGTATTTCAAATGGCATGTAATGATAGTACGGCCGTACCACGTACTGTTGCTATTAGCACTTGAATATTATTAACGACTAATTAACGTTAGTTACGTTTAAACTGCTTTCTCTTTAGATGCGAAATACAACCGTGTTCTGTACCGATTTTCCATGTACACTGTCTGTTCTATTTACCGATATTCTATGGTTTCATTTGGGCTACTACTCAAGCATATCCGTCCTAACCCAGATATCACCTCAGGCGTTACAGTAGGTTAGCCTTCGGAATGTGCCAGTATTACGAGTATTTGTATATACACACCTACTGTTTGTTTTAAATAATTCACAGTGAAAGTACTGACAGGCGTAATGCTAGGAGCATTTTTATAAAGTTTATTATAACATTGTAATTTAGTAGTATACTCCTAAATTGTTAGGTAAACTCATAAAGCATGGTATTGGAAATCAAACGATTTTCAATTTAAAATGTCTGAATAAATATTGTTTTATGCTGCAGAAATTTAAAAAAGTATGTACATAACTGAACCCTCCAAATTATATTTTTTCGTGATCACTGCCTCGTCCACCCGTGGATTCATCATGCTCGCTGGTTTATTTCAAATTTAGGCTTTATTCCAAAGCAATTGAATCTTAAACGGTTGAGGTATTTATAAGATAAATCTTATACTTTAAATATAGTCTGAGTAAACTTTGAGCTGATCTGTCCACCTTAATTTGTTTCTTTGTCCATCCTTTTAATTTGGGCATTGTGATTGTCTATAGATTGGTATGATACTCAATTTTATATATTTGACTACCACGTGTCAGATGGTCTGTCTTTGCTCATCTGCCTATCTATGGCATTAAAACAGTAACAATTACGAACCTGTCTAATTGGTGACCCAAAAATTCGATTAAAGACTGTCATTATCAGTGTTCAATGAGTCAGCAGCCGACATGCCACCTTAACAACATTCCATTCATTCAGAGAAGAAAAAATGAAACTAGAACAAAAATTATTGCTAATAAACTATATAAGTGATGGAAAGAACCTATTTGAAAAGATAATGAAGCAATTGCACCCAATAAAGTTATTGAAATTGTCAATCAAGGAGAAAAACACAGTTAAACCTTTATACATTTCTTAAGGGTTTAAATCATACGAATAAAATGATCATACAGAATTTCTGGCATTTATCATCAACAAGTACTATAGATTTCGGGCATGAAACTAGATTATTTAAAATGTAACTCTGGGAAAACACTAACAGAAAATCCTCAATCAACATAGCAAAATATTCGGCTATTATTGGATTATTTAGTGTAAAACAATTTTTAACAATGAACTGGTACGAGATTTAAAACATATTTTTGTACAACCAATTACATTATAAACAGTACAAAAATTGATAAGCTATAAATTAAAATTTATAATTCGGTAACACGAACGTCATTGATTGGCTCAGCTGTTTTAATTTATGTATGCACATATTATTTAAATATGAAGAAACAGAGTCGCCTTATTGCATAATTCTCTGAATATTCTACTTTCTGTGTCTGTTCCACAATGTTTCAGTTGAGCGTTTTTGTGGTTTTTTTTTTCCTTTTTTTTCCTACCCATTGCTAGTAACCTCGATGCGTTATGCTATCTTCACCGGACGTGTAGGGGAGCTCACGAGGCTTAGCCTGGAGACTTTGTTATACTAGTAGACTAGTCCTAGCAAGAGCAGCGCTTCGCTGAAGCTACCACTGAATCGGAATTGCGACCCACTGAGAAGATCCGGGGAGAAACTCAACGGGCCATAAAAAGCATATATTTCATGTCCATACAATTCCAATATCTACAAAAAGGTGTCATTATTCTACAATGAACCATTTTGTGTTGAGTCGTAAACTTAAGAGCTATTGTGTTAAGTAAACGTGATGCACAACTGATGCATTGAAACTATGATCAGTTCCGGCAACGTGAGGAGTCGGTACGTCAACAAGGTCGAAGACGACGTTCTAGTACTGTGCCTGCCGAGTTTTAATCAACATGCTTCTGTATTCGACACATAAATCAGTGTGCTCAGAATGATCATCCTAATTTTAGATAATAAGATAATAAGTGTGGTTATGAATGACAGATATGAAGGAGAATAACCTCACCCAGAAGAAGGCCGATGACCGGGCAAAATAGAGAATTTTAAGTAAGAAAGCTGACCCCGGCACTAGACCATAACACTGGGAACAAAAAGATGAAGGTTACGAATGAGGACTTTTAGTCCACTCATTTCAATTTAAAATGATGCAAATATTTGTAAGAGGTGTTGTCCCACTTGTGGTACCGAGTAAACGTGTACCGATAACCTCAAGGATAAAGCTTCCTGTTTCGTAAAAAAAAGGTTTACTTATAAACGTGCTTACGGCCGTGGACATGAACAAAGTAAATGCTACCCATCTTAAGACATGAATTCTAAGTCTGAGTTCTAGTACAACACTCTACCCTAGAAATAACTGGAATGATGATACCGCAATATGCAGGCTCTCGAGATGCCCACCACCCGTATTAAATTACATTGCATCGCAAATATGCAAAACGAGGACCCTAATCTGTGCAAAAACAACATGATAAAATGCCTTAGGGCAATCTTTGCCTACGTGATAGATATCATATTTACATTTACTAGAAGAAAAAACTCCGGGCCCTACTTTGTTTTGTCGCGATAAGTATGATGAATCTTTACATTGACAGTTATCTTTCATTCGACTTGATGATGCGGAATTTGTGTAACGTAAGTTACATGTTGTATCTCGGAGATGATTGTTCCATATTTGCTCAATCCAAAGAGCATCCAGAACAATTTATAAAAAGATTATTTTTATATTTCGTTATCCAAAGCCAAAGATTTATCTCTGATGTTAAGTAATAATATTTGATAACTAGTATCTGAGTCGACGACCTAATTGACAGTGGCCACAGTCCTTTAAACTCGTAGATACTATGATTATGATACACTTTGACATAAGGTCAAAACATCTAGTTTTGATCTTATGTTTTACAGTTTTATCGTTTTAAAAAATTGTAGTTTTCCCCACGAAAACTAAAACGTATATGCCAAGAACTGAAAAGGGAGCAGTTTTAATTTGCGGTCCAAACTTTTGCTATATAAATGACGTAGCTCTGCGTGGAATGGCGAACCTTAAGCCATTAACATATCTTGTGTTTTCTTGCTTTAGATTTGGCAACCACAATATTGTTTTAAACGTCCACGGGGCTATCTGCATGGCACATACTATAATTTAACGAGTACTTATCACGATTTTCCGGGTTGGATGTTAGGAGCAGACAAATTTATCTACGCACTTTCTAGTCCGTTCTTTTGGTGTTTCCACTGGGACTTGTTGACTCGCTAGGACGACACACGCTCACCATATCAACAGTTTTTTAGTGTTAAGAATCTTTTAAATAAACTTGTGGAACTACAGATAATAATATTATTCCAAACACGATTTTTCGGCCTTTGTACTGTTTTATTGCACGTATATTTGTCAACTTTTAATACCTAGTAATACTTTCTATTGTAGCAGCTTAGGGATAGAGACGAATTTGTACCTAACTAATTGAGAAGTACATAAATGATTACATAATATAATAGTTGTGAAGTAATCATAAACTCCGTCCCCGAATGTCCCCAATACCTACCTACTCAGGCCCGTTTTGTATTGTGTGTAAATAATACGTAACGTAACGGTCGCCAATGAACCCTCTCGCGTAACACGCACGGTCGTTAGTGTAAATATTATGCAAATAAGCTTCGAGTTCATTATAAACAGAATACAGTCCGTTTGCTACTTGGAAATTTGACGTATTACTTAGAAAAAATTGTCAAATGAATAAAATATCCAACCAGTATTTTGCGTGCTACATTCGTTGAATTACCAAACTTGCACTAGAAAAGCGTGCACAGATACAGATATTTTCGAAATTGTCAGAAAATTCAACCGAAAGAAATTTTCAGCGGCGCTCATCTCTTAACAATTTCTTAGGTCAAGGTTTTTTCAATTGGTTCTCATTCAATCACTTTATTGGTTACACAGTCATGTTATTAGACTCTTAAGGGATCTAAATTAATACGATTCGTTTTTAAATAAATTATCTAGATCTGTAGAGATAAACTGTATGCAAAATTTGGTACGTTTTTGAAATCGTCTGGATATATAGTGAGAGTAGATCGATATCAGCTTATCACAGAGCTCGTGCCCTAAATACTTGTTCACTTTACTAGAGATAAAAATATTTTATTGCCTCCGAATTTTTGTTGGCCGTCTTTTTTTTATATTGCTTGGATAGGTGGACGAGCTCACAGCCCACCTGGTGTTAAGTGATTACTGGAGCCCATAGACATCTACGACGTAAATGCGCCACCCACCTTGAGATATAAGTTCTAAGGTCTCAGTATAGTTACGACGGCTGCCCCACCCTTTGAACCGCATTACTGCTTCACGGCAGAAATAGGCAGGGTAGTGGTACCTACCCGCGCGGACTCACAAGAGGTCCTACCACCAGTAATCAAACCGAAACGCATTACTGCTTCACGGCAGAAATAGGCAGGGTGGTGGTCTCCCTTTGGCCCGCGGTCTGCTCACAACACCATGCAGATCGTTGAGTCTCACATACCCCACGCGCCCCTTTTGCGCGGGGACCTCGTAGGAGGTTCCCTCCACCCGAAAAAAAAAAAAAAAAAAAAGGGGGTGGTCTCACTTTAACTAAACTTTACGATGAAGCAGACTGGCGGTTCGATTGTTTTATTGCGGA